AAAAACTCACCACCCCCTTAAAAGAAGGGAATCAGGGTGAATTATGGCCGCTTTGACCATCTTTGTTAAATGTGGGAAATGTAATAAGAACTGTGTGGCATCATGACTCCTGAAGAATCAAGGAAAGCTGCAAATCCTTTTCTTTTTGGCTACGCGGGTATATGATTGACTAGGAGCTAATATCCTGTTAATACTTTAAAACTTCTTGCATTGAAATCTTGGATTTTCTACTTGGTATTAGGTTGGGCTGAGATATTTGGCTGGAGATATATCTGGTGGGAATGCCCGCTGTATTGCTATGCTTCAAGCTTTTCAAGAGTCCATCAAAGACTACTCAACACCCCCAGAGAAAGCTCTTATAAGAGACTTGACTGCAAAAGTTAATTGTTATGTTTCATTTTTGATCGAGTGCAGGCCCCTCTCAATCAGCATGGGGAATGCTATTAGGTTTCTTAAAACTAGGATTGCCAAATTGCCTTTGACTTTGTCAGAATCAGAAGCTAAAGCCATTCTTCTGACAGATATTGATCGCTTCATTAGTGAAAAGATAATACTTGCAGACAAGGTGATAGTCAAGCATGCAGTAACTAAAATAAGGGATGGTGATGTTCTTCTCACATATGGATCATCCTCTGCTGTTGAAATGATTTTGTTACATGCTCATGAGCTTGGCAAGGATTTCCGTGTCGTAGTAGTAGACGCACGTCCAAAGCTTGAAGGGCGATTACTGCTTCGTCGGTTGGTCGGGAAGGGGGTTAAGTGTACATACACTCATATAAATGCCATTTCTTATATCATGCATGAAGTTACTAGAGTACTTTTAGGTGCTTCATCAGTTTTGTCCAATGGAACTGTTTATTCAAGGGTTGGAACTGCAAGCGTTGCTATGGTTGCTAATTCATTCCGGGTACCTGTCTTGATATGTTGTGAAGCGTATAAATTTCATGAAAGGGTTCAACTTGACTCAATTTGCTCTAATGAACTTGGTATGTGTCACCCCTCAACCCCCAGCAGACGGTGCACTAGGGGTTTTAATTGTTTTTATGCTGATTGCTTCCTTCAGGGGGTGGTTATACCTGAAGTAGTATCTGATGGTACCCTGTTTCTTACTAGCTCAGCCTTGTGTCTGTACAGGTGATCCAGAAGCTATAGCTAAGGTTCCCGGTAGAATGGAAATTAACCACTTGGATGGTTGGTCTAACAGTGATAATTTACAACTGCTGAATCTGATGTAAGTATCATTATATCAGATATATGATATTCGGTTTTTATTGGCTAACCAGTCAAGTTTCTGGAACTTCTTATTTTCAACCCTTACAGTTACGATGCAACACCTTCAGACTATGTATCAATGATAATCACAGATTATGGCATGGTAAGTCATCAATACTCGTGTTTATATCATTTCCTCCCTGGAGATTTCCTGAGGTAAATTAGCTGAACAAGCATGATATTGAGTATAACTTCGAGTTCATCTCAACGTATGCAGATCCCTCCTACAAGTGTTCCTGTTATTGTTCGAGAGTATCGCAGAGAATATTTATGGACATGAAAGGAGCACAACTGGGAGCTACAAATCACATAGTTGCCTCGAGAAAAGCAAAGGGAGACCTATGCACCAGTTTTGTGCCCCCCTTGCTAGCCTGCATCTCAAAGATATTGATAGGGACATGGATTTGAGACCTCTACCTTTGCTTTTGAGTTATATGCCTCAGGTTTTGGGTTCTCTATTTTTAGCTGACCCTAAGAAGAGTGCGATTTCTCCGCCTCTCAGGGCAATTTTGGGAATGTATTCTCTCGATAGAAACAGATTTGCAAAATTGTGATCAGATTTTCATATGAATAACAGTTCATGAAGCCAGACACCTTCCTCCCCTCCTGGGCCCAGAATCATGTTTCTTTTTGGTGTATTTTAATTTTTAATTTTCTTGTCAACGAAAAGCATGTCGGTGGTAAGGCGCTCTTACATGGCATGTGGGCACAACTTTTCTATTAGTCTATCAGGATGTTTAATACTCCATTTATTTTTCTGTTAGAAAAGGAGGAACTAATTATGCTTGTTCATTAATAGCATTTTTATACACCTTCGTTATAGATATATGAACGCTTCTGAGAGCCAGGATTTCCATGAGAAGAAAAGATTGTTGCGCACGGATTGACCCAATTCAATCTTTGTTGAGGTTATGTTTTAGGAAATCAAGGGGCAAGAAACAATATCAGGGAGCGCTAGAAAATTTAGACGTGACCTTCAATACCAAAACTAGACAATTGGTGAAATTAGTCTCAACGACCGATAGACGATAATCAGCTGCATTATAGAAGATGAACATTAGATTCGTTTCTTTGGAAGGTTACACACAAAAAGAACAAAGGAAATATCTATCGAAATTAGTCTCTAGTTAATAGCAACAACAACGATCCAGTAAGATCTCACAAGTGGGGTCTGGGGAGGATAGTGTGTACGCAGACCTTACCTCTACTCCGAGGGAATAGAGAGGCTGTTTCCGATAGACCCTCGACTCAAGAAGACGATGTCTGTAGTAAATAGGTGATCAAAAAAAAAAAGTAAAGTAAGTAGGAGATCGAGGTATGGAATCAGTGATATTTTGTTCAATAAACATGAAAAAAACAAAAAATATTTCTCGAACGAGCGGTTCATAACTTTATAGGTAAGCCAGTGCAATTTTAGTCACTCTTCTACGATGCAGATGATCTTTTTTCAAATGATCAAGGTGGTCATGAAAGTCCCTAAAATTTCAGACGTTGCAATAATAGTAACATTATAGCCACACAACACCAAATGATTTTCCGCTAAAATTGTATAAAGCGAATTACACAAGTGTGTCGATACTAATAAATCTATAGACAAAAACGAACACTTGTTTCTTTCTCTAATTGTCACAATGCCTCCATTATTTCTTTCCTCATCCCCCAATGAGATTTCATTTACAAAATGTTGATCGTTCATTTTTTAAAGATTTTTCCCTTGATTCGTACGACGTTAAGAATCCAAAGTATTCCGTGAGAGCCTGTATGAATAAGACTACAAGAGTGTAATATCTTATTCACTTGCTCAAGGCTAAGCAAACTAGCATCATCAGGAAATTAATCATCCCAAGGAGACGCATTGAAGAATCTGCCGTAATTACTAAGCAAGATAATTAATTTTATGGTCGACACGGTCTCCTAGGAACAAAATTGTTGGCAGGAATATGCTTTTATATTCTGAGCAGATAAAATTGAATAAGGATGAAGTAAGCACAAATATTGGCAGTTAGCTGCCAAAATATCAGTAATTTTCTTGAGTTTCAATATTCGAGGTTATACCAACAATTAACTTCATTACTTATAACTGTAGTGATTGTTTTTATAAATAATACAAAAAAAAAAAAAAATCATCCCTTACCACCATTGTTGAATGATTTTCCCCCTACTTTTTGTTATTAAGGGGTCATTTAGTTCACGAACTAGCAGTAATGATTATAAGTTTATACATGGAGTCTTATGCGTGATAATGTGTGGGAATTGGTATAACGTGGACAGTAGAGTTATAATGTACGGAATAAAATAACATATTAATTAATTGTTACACATAAATTGACTACTTTAAAGATATTTTTGTCATTGAATACTCAATACTCTTATCCAGGTATTGGCGATACACCAACTTTTAGTATACATCTACACTCGTAACTCGTAAGATGATACATAAGTTTAGAGTTTAACATTGAAATAACTGAAGCAGGGTTTAGTGTTGACACTAATTATTACTAAAGTTAATATATACTAATACTATTAGTTATGAGAATTTTAAGCAAGAATTATGTTTTAATGCAGCTAAGGCCTATGAGCGAAGAAAAAGAGTCAACTATTTGGATTTTGAGTCGTCAACAATTTCCAAAATTTGACCATAAATGGATAATGCCTCGACACCGTGGCATTCCAAAGCAGCATATTCGCCCTTAGACGCCAAATTCTTCTTCAATTGTCAAAAAAACCCTGGATCTCTCTCTATTTACTCCTTCACCCCCTCTAAGCCAACTCCTCACAGTGCTCTTAACTGCCATTTGAGGGTAATACCGTCACTACACAAAACGCAAAACTCATTTTCGAGCCAATAAGGGCTACTAAATTCCAGAAAGCCCCCGTTATTAACCATAATAATACCGGAGCACCAAGGTTAAAATTGTAAACGAAGGTAGCTAAATCGCTTTCGGCCCTGGTACAGTACATATATAGATTGAAAAAACAAAATTAGGAGGTAAATTGTGAAAAAGCGAGGGAGCCGGAGGAGCCTGTTGTAAATTGGGAATTCTCCGGCGAGGGTTACAAATTCCTGTATCAAATTCGACGGTTATAATCAATCGTTAAAGCCACTACTCTTTTTCTATCTCATTCTTGTTGTAGCATAAGTTATAAATCTTCGATCTGTAAATTATTGAGTTCTGGGGTGGTCTTTTTTGTGAAATCTTCTAGATGTCTACACCGCCGAGGAAATTTTGGACCGGCTGGTCACTGTCACCATGGAGCGAACCGGCTGACAAGGGCAAAGGCGTTGCCTTTATGGGTACTGCTCAGAAAAGTTTGACGAGCCAAGATTATGGAAACATGGATCAGGAAGCACTAATTGGAGAGGTCTCCAAGCTTGAAAATGAGGTTAGCCAACTTAACCCCTCGTGTATTCCATAGTCTTTTTTAATGAACTGCGAATTTGGAAATTCTGCGACTTTTGTCCTGCTACTTGGATAGTACATTAGTATTAGTAGAGCTGAAAGGTTCACTGTAGAGCATCAGATCATCATATGGGAAGACTATAATCATCCATCATAATTGCATAGTGATGTCTCTCGCTGAATATGAGTGGTTTAGGGACACCATTATTACAAAACTAGCAAGTTTGCAGCTTTAGAGCTGGATGAAGAGGGTATATCTTCTTGGGTTTCAATGCCTGGTGCTATGTAATTGTTTCCCTTGGATAGAGAGGCTGCTTCACTTTGATAACAGAGAGATTGTTTCACTTGTTTGTACACGTTACAAAATGGTACAATATTAATTGCCATGTATGTATGCAGATCAAAACCAACCTAACAATTGTTCCATCTAATGCTTTGTGGCCATCATCTGGTTGAGACTTGAGAATGTTGTTTAAGCGGTCAATTTTACTTTTAGTGGGAAGAGGATAGCAAAACAAATTCCAAAGAATCAGTTTGATAGAAATTATACAACAATATAGAAGCTGTGACAATGTAAACTGTGTTTGCTTTAATCCAAATTCTGAGTGCAGAAACTTTTTGCTTAGGTTTAGTTTAAAAAAATATAGATCAATTTTCTGAACCCGGAAGCATATTTTCTATTGATTGTTACCCTAACTTGCCTGCTCCCCTCAGCCCGCATAACCTCCAAAATGAGAATAAAATTAGAAGCTGTGGTTGGGGCGATAGACAAAACATAAAAAGTGCAAATGCTCACAAAAGTATGCCAAAGCCACTTGTAGGGTAGAAGGAAGACTTATTGCTTCTTCTTTTTTGGATGTTTACGTTAGATTTTCTTAATATATCAGCTGCACAGTATACCTACTGAGAATGTTCAATTACGTCTACAAAGTTGTTTACTACAATACTGCTGCATTTCTTCTGCAGCTTTTTTCCTACCAATACAATATGGGCCTTCTACTGATCGAAAAGAAGGATTGGTCTTCTAAATTTGAAGAAATTAAGCAAGCCTTAGAAGAAGCAAATGATGCTTGTAGAAGAGAACAAGCAGCTCATTCAATTGCTATATCTGAAGTGGAGAAACGGGAAGAGAATTTAAGGAAGGCACTGGGAGTCGAGAAGCAATGTGTGCTAGAGGTACAAGTTCTACTTCTTTATTATTACTCAAAAAAGTTCTACTTCTTCATTAAGCATCCATAGGTTTTAACATTCATTGTTCTTTGAAGAAGTTAGCCGCGTAAACTTGGTTCTTACTGTGTTTGTTGCTCTGGGGTATTTCATCAGGTTTGCCTGAAAACCTAAGAACTTAGTACCAGATTGACTCTCAACTTCCAAATTGTAAAAATAAATTTGGGAGGGGAAATGACTTTTTTTTCCCTTTAGGCAAGGAGGTATATTGCTCGTCATGCATTGCATCTCATGTGCTATTTAGTACGTCGCTAGTATTTTCTCTAAAGACAAAGTAATAGTGATTTAGTGGCATAGATATTAAAAAACAATGATCTATAGCATGCATTAAAATTTACGCTTTGGGATCCTTGTCAGAAATAATAATAGTAATGATTGTAATTATGAGCTGACATATCCTGCACTTTGCTTAGAGCTAACAGGTGTTTATATGGGATGTTATCTCGCAAATTCTTACCTGTTTTATCAACTTCGATTTCGACTTCTAGAATGATCATGTGCATTTTAATCCTTGCTGGGACTTTTTTTATGAGTTGGGATAATCCCTGTAAGTAACAAAATATTTAACACTCCAGATTGAATGCGCGTCAATGGCTTGTAATGGTAGTGGCTGATTTTCTGATAACTCATGAACTTGCTTAATTCTCCTATTTGAATATGAAAAACTCTGGACTTCCTTTTAGTAATGTTCTCTGGTGACTAACGTTGTAATTGTTGGTGGGTGCAGCTTGAGAAGGAATTGCGTGAGATGCGCTCGGAGTATGCAGAGACTAAATATACAGCTGATTCAAAATTGGCAGAGGCAAATGCATTGGCTGCTAGTGTTGAAGAGAAATCATTGGAGGTAGAAGCAAAGTTGCGTGTAGCGGATGCTAAGCTTGCTGAGGTTATCCAAAAGAGTTCTGCAGTAGAGAGGAAACTTAATGAAGTTGAAGCTCAAGAAAATGCGCTTCGAAGAGAACGGTCATCTTTCAATGCAGAGTATGCTATTGGCTCCCAGTGATTCTTTCTTATCTCATATTTCTCCTCTAATTTGTTCCCATTTAAATTCACAGGCTGAATTGGTAAGAGTTATGACGATCGCATTTAATTTTTGCTTGATAGTGATGTTTACTCTTGTTGTCTCAGGCGTGAAGCTTTTGGGACTTATCTATCCAGACAAAGAGAAGACTTGCAGGAATGGGAAAGAAAATTACAGGCTGGAGAGGAGAGGTTGGCTGATGGCCGAAGATTGCTTAACCAAAGAGAGCAGCGAGCCAATGACACTGATAGATTTTTGATGCAAAAGCAGAATGACCTTGAAGATGACCAGAGGAAAATTGACGCCGCTAACTCAGTTTTGAGGAAGAAAGAAGATGATATGAGCAGCCGGATAGCAAACCTTACTCATAAGGAGAAGGTAAGTTTTCTTTGAGTTCTTCAATTGCCTAGCTGAGGTTATATTTACCATAAAGTTTTCCGCTTGATACAGGAACTCGAGGATGTGAGAAAGAGCCTGGAGATAAAAGAGAGGGAGTTGCTTGATCTACAGGAAAAGTTGAACTTTAAAGAGAGAGTGAGTACCTGTCCTTTTCCCCCCTGGGTTTGTCTAGTGCAGATGATTGAAATTAATGACCTTATTGATGAAAGATGGCCTCTGTTCTCTTGAGTTCATTTTAGTTTGGAAATTATTTATGCCCACGAACCCATTAATCCAAGAAATTTCACCAGTAATTATCTTGTTTTTGTTGAAAATTTTCCATTGTGAACCCATTCCAATTCTTTGAGTTGCCCTTTAAAGCTTCCTTCTGCTTTACGTTTTCTGTGGTTCAGTTTTCTGTTTTCCCTGCCTATTCTACCTTCAGAATCTTTTGAGGAAGAGAGTAACTTGAAAAAGAAAAATTATGTAAGTTACTATCAAGCTATGATATTTATCTTAGGCTTGCTCTTCTAATTGTAAACAGGAGGGAATTCAAAATCTAATGGATGAACATCGAAGTATCCTGCATTCTAAGGAAGAAGAGTTTGAATTGGAACTGAGGCAAAGGCGGGCATCACTTGATGAGGAACTAAAAGGTAAGGTGCTTGAACTGGAAACGAAGGAAGCTGAAGTTGATCACATGGAAGAAAAGATTAAGAAACGAGAACAAGCCTTTGAAAAGAAGCTGGAGAAAGTCAAGGAGAAGGAGAAGGATCATGAGTTGAAGTTAAAATCATTGAAGGATAGGGAGAAGTCTTTGAAAACCGAGGAGAAAATTTTGGAAACTGAAAGGAAGCAGATAGTTTCTGAGAAGGAGAATTTTCTAGCTCTGAAGGCTGAGCTTGAGAATGTAAGAGCTGACATTCAAAAGCAACAGGTAAAGATCAGTGAGGAAACAGAACAACTTAAAGTAACTGAAGCTGAGAGAATGGAACATGTTCACCTACAATCAGAACTGAAGCAGGAGATAGACAAGTGTAGACTCCTCCAAGAAAATCTATTGAAGGAAGCTGAGGATTTGAAGCAGGAAAAAGAAAGATTTGAAAAAGAATGGGAAGAACTGGATGAGAAAAGATCTGAGATCAAGATAGACTTGCAGGAACTTAATGAACAGAGAAAGAATTTCGAAAAACTGAAGCGCACTGAAGAGGAAATGATAAGCAAGGAGAAGCTGGAAACAGAAAATTATGTTCAGAGGGAGTTGGAAGCCCTTAGAGTGGCAAGAGAAACATTTGAAGCTACCATGGATCATGAGAAGTCAATATTAGCAGAGCAAACTCGAAGTGAAAAAAGCCAAATGCTTCATGCCTTTGAACGGCAAAAAAGAGAACTTGAAAGTGATATGCAGAGGAAGCAGGAGGAAAAGGAGTCTGCACTGCATGTACGGGAGAAACTCTTTGAGGAAGAGAGGCAGAGGGAGCTCAGCAATATTGAGTATTTGAAGGAAGTCGCCCATAGAGAAATGGAAGAGATGAAATTAGAAAGAGTCAGTCTGGAGAAAGAAAAACAGGAAATTTCTGCTAACAAGGGGCTTCTTGAAGTACAACAGTTAGAGATGAAAAAGGATATTGATGTGCTTGTTGGCTTAAGCAGGAAGTTGAAGGATCAGAGATTAGCTTTTATTAAGGAAAGGGACAAGTTTATTGCTTTTGTCAAGCAGCAGAAAAACTGCAGCTCATGCGGAGAAGGAATTCGTGTGATTGAGTTTTCTGACCTTCAAGCTCTCGCTGAAGTGGAGAGTTTTGAGGCCCCTCCTCTGCCAGGTGTCGTGCAGGAATATCTAAACGATGGTCAAAGAGGATCATTGGAAAGGACTAGTGATGAGCTGTCCCCTGGTGCTCGTAATACAGGATCAATGGTTTCTGGTGGAACCATGTCCTGGCTTCGAAAGTGCACATCTAAGATTCTCAAATTTTCACCTAGCAAAAAGATTGAAAATGCTTCTTCTCATTGTCTGGTTGATGGATCTTCTGCATCAGAGAAGTGTGCAGACATATCACCAAATAAACTGTCAAACGAAGGAAATCACACGGATCTGGCTGTTTCCATGAATGTTCTTGATGATCAGATGCTTCAACAAGGTGATGGCATTAGAGAGGTGGAAGTTGGCCAAGGAACTGTAGAAGACTCTCATCATGCCAGCGTGAAAGTTGGTCAGCGCAGACCTGTGAAGAAAGGACGTGGTAGAAGTAGTAAATCAGCAAAAGCTACAGATACAAGAACAGTTCTTGAAATAGTTCCTAAGGAGGGTGAGAATATGCACGCCAATGGAAGTTTGGAGACCTCAGTTAATATGAACGAGGAGAGCCAGAGAGAATCAGGTCTTTTGGGTGGGGCACCAAGAAATTCTAGAAAGCGTAGTCACTTGTCACAAGAAATGGCTAGTGAGATCGATGGCAATAATAGTGAAGGACAGTCAGATAGTGTAGCCAGCAGTCGCAGGAAGAGGAGACAACAGGTTGCCCCTGGTGTGCAGGCTCATGCTGAAAGAAGATACAATCTCCGCCGACCTAGAAGGTAAGTTGTTTGAGTGCCTTTTTAATTGCTGAACTGGATAGACTAGTTCTACTGCATAGCTAAAATGAGTTGCAATGTAAATAGGACCTTAAAACATTGTGGAACTTGTCTTAAGAATTACATGAAAATTGTTTTTCCCTCCATTCCCCCTAAAAATATATACGTTATCCTAGGACTAGGAGCCACTACTTTCACATGCTCAAGAGACAATGCTGTTTAGATAATTTGTGGTGGTTGACTTGCGCTTTCTTTTATTCACAGTGCTGCACCAGCAACAGCCAATGGATCTTTGTCAGACCCAATTTCAAAATCTCAGGAAGAGAATTGGAACTCTAACGCTTCCCTGGCAAATCCTCTGGTTGACAACGGTGAAGATGATGGAAAAGATAGAAATTTTGCTGCTGGTCATCCCACGGTAGCCGAGAGCCCTGTTAGTACTCTCCGTGCTCTCTCTCATCTGTGATGCACAATTTCTCACAATTGCGCACACATTCTCAAACTTCTTGGAATATGTTTCAGAAGTTCTTTATAATTACTCAAGTTGCTTTATGTGGTATGCGCACATCATATTCTCTTTTATCCCTTGGCACACCTACTTACACTGGATTTACTACGATTTTATGTTCGAAATCACTATTGTCCCCAAATGCATAGGTGTAGCTGTTAGTAGACTGGTAGTTTCATCCGTGATATATTTGTGATATATGTTTTTTGTAACCAGCTGCTATTAACATTCATTATATTTTTCTCCAGTTGAATGATACAGTAGACAATCAGGAAGGCAGTGCTAACATAGCAACTGAGCTGGTAGATGATACAGGTTTGAGTGAAGAGGTAAATGAAACCCCAAAACAGCCTTCAGCTTATGATGTGAATAGAGATGAGGATGGGTGTGATGACAGTGACGGTGATGAGGGTGATGAGGGTGAAGAGATTGAACATCCCGGTGAAGTCTCTATAGGGAAGAAGCTTTGGACTTTCATCACGACATAGTGGAAATCTAAATGACTCTGTAGTTTGGTTGCACTTTTGAGGATAGCTTTCTTGCATCTTGACTAGTATTTTGTTTCTTTTGCCACTTGTAGAGTAGTTTTAACGCTTTCACGGTGATGTGCAGTGTTGTGTATCCTTCTCAAAATGTAGTCAGTAGGAATCAGTTTAGGGTTGGAATTTGATTGTTTAAATGATGGTCCGAGTCGGGGTGCATTCATATTGGTTTAACGATTCTTAGTATCCATATGCATGATGTCCCTAAGTTAACCATTACAGCTGTAACACTAGAGTGCGCTTCCCTGTATCTATACCATTGAAATTCAAATACTAAATAAGTGGATAGTTTTCTTCTGTCTATTTGATTTGCAATCTCTTTGTTGTTTTTTACATTGTAGTACGCAAGTATGTGTTACATTATAGTTCTTAGTTCTCACTTCTTTCCAAATGAGTGGGGGAAGCCTACTTGCAGTGCAAATATGTACGCCGAGTTGCCAACCTGCATCCTTTTTATTTTTTTTAGAGAAATGGCGAACCTGCGTCAATTTCATGCAGTGCATTTATGGGCAAATGATTCTGCATCTAGTGAAGCATCCGAATTACATGTAGAAATGTTCACTGATTTAAGAATATATGTAACTAATGAATTCCTGATGCACGTTGACTAATACATGTAATACCAGCTTTTCTAAACGTGGACCTGATAACTTGCTCTTTCAAGTGGGGATACACGATAGATAAACAATTTTTACCAAAATGGGGGTCAAAAAAGAAGGGAAAAGAAGTCTATTCCTCAATCTACGGTCAACAGAGATACAATCTAATAAGGATCTGAATTATATGTTCAACAGGAAATTGTGTGACCGGAATGACAGCTTGAACAACATCTAGTGACGCACCGATGTAACTACTCTTCAACTAAATTAACTACGCTGTGCTTATCTACAAGGACAACTACACTTTGACTAAATTAACTCTTTGTACTATATTCATCTATACTCTGCAGCTCCCACATAAGGGGTTATCTAGTGAAGCAACCTAAGTCCTAAACCGTGTTACTCAACTACAATGGCAACTCTATGTATATTTCATGCTAACATATGTACTAGGATCTTGAGAAGGATTTGTGGCAATCTTCACAAAAACTTGGCCACGGCTGATGAGCTAGTGTCACTGTACATCAAGTCAACGTTGTCAATTACTGAAATGACTATACACTTGTGATCTTGTGATGAATATACACTAGGATGATCATGGGAATGTAATTTCATGTAGATGCTAATCCCTTTCCACCTCTCTGAAGCGATGAATTCCTTGCTACGTGCTTTCTAATGTCCCTGCATCGTATTTGAAGAAAGCGGAGTTACATCACTTATGAAGCAAGAAATTTGAGGACCAAAAGTTCAGTACTTAACATACATGCAACGAGGAACTAGGCAACTGAAATCCTGACATGTCTGTGAATGCCAATGCAGTAGCGACCAGGTTTTTAAACAAAGTTCGCAACCCCCTGGAACTCTAAGTTTGCACCGATTTGCATGTTGAAAAAGTTTTCTAATTTTGAGGCATCCAGAGTACGAGCACGGATTACTTGGAGTTGCACGGCATTGTGATGCATGCACCAGTACACCCATTAATTTGACCTGCAGCGCCAAATATCTTGTCAGATGAACTGAGCACAGCTGATCAGATTATTTCCATATTACAGTAAAAACTGTTGCACTTTATCCCAACACTTGAGATTCAGAACATATAATTTAAGTAGACCTCCAAAAATTTTAAGAGTAAGGTAAATAAGCAGACACTAAACACCTAAAATCACTTGATAACATGGTAGAACTATCTTGGCAGTTCTGTTTGTGATCATACAAATAAAAGATATAGCAATGCGCACCTGCAACGGTTTTTGCCCCTCGAATTGATCACTTCCAACGCCAGAGTCAGTTTCGGACGAGTGAATCTTCTTGTGGAGATGATACAATATCATCATTGAGGAATGCTTAGCACGACGGAGTGTGTCAAACTGATAGTGATTTTGCTGGCAGAAGCTCAAAAAAGAATGCCTATTCTTGAAAAGATCATTATCTATAATGGTATCTCGGTCCTCAGTATTAGCAGGTATATCGTCCACCACAACCTAGAAAGAGCAATTTTGGAGAAAGGTTTCATGGTCAGAGTGGTAGTGAGGTCAAAGTTATTCAACATGCCATCCAATAAAATAGAGTGAATGTGAGAAGAAAAGATTTATTGTTCCAAAATTCGTGAATTTATTCTCCTATCCCCAACTCTCATTCTATTAATTTCTCGTGTATTAGTCTTCTCTACTTTTCGAACATTTCTTTCAGATCCATTCCACAAAGTGGGTGAAGAATTTTTAAGGAAAAAGAGAGTTCACCTCGGAAAGTAAATGCTTTTCTCCATTAATGGAAGTGTGTGTTTTCTGCTCACCAAAGTTTTCCTTCAAAGCAAGACACCTACAATATGAAGAACATAAAATTTAAATTACAAAATATATGCAATATTAGTATTATAATTCTCACGAAACAACCACCATTTCTAAAACAAAGATACAAGTTCACCGTTATTACAAGTCTGTTTTACTGAGAGGAAGAAAGGTCAAGAGAGCAAATACGATTAGTTAAAGGTAGTGAATTAGACTACTTCGGATGTCATGAGAACCAAGATCAGAGGGGATTGTACTGCTGACAGGAAAATTCCCTTGGTTTTAAGTAATACAAGGTTCATCTAAATTGTGATATAATTGCGCAACTTTGGAGCTAGTAGATTAGCCCATTGAAAAAAGATAAAACTGGACTGTCATAGAAACTGATAGTACATTACATCTCATGAATGAAGATATAACATATTCCATATTTTCATTTTACAATAAAAACATGCTAAAAACATAGGTACAAAGACCTAATATCTCTTTCCATTTTCTTTTCAATGAAAAAAGATTAAACAACATGTACCAAGTCAATAATCAGTCAATGTTTAGAGGAGAATTTCAATTAGCACATACAAAGAAAAGTTCATTCTACACAAGGGTGACTTGCAAATCTGTAGTTATCACTAAATTTTAAACCCATAGCTCCAAAGGCACTAGGCACACTCAATCAATAGATTTACTGTATGATATACTAATATCATGCAGGATAAATCCACAAGGTAAGATACCCCAAAGAACTCTACTTCCAAAGACACCTATTATTGACTGGAAGGGTGTAAAGAGCTGAAAAGGCTCATGCAACTTGTTTAAAAGGAGGTGTAGGGGGCGACGTGAAAGTGGAGAAATTTTTTTATGACTTAAAATCAGATGTTAACCTCCCTTTGTAAGAAAAGGAAGAAGTTTTATCTTCCTTTCTAGTTGTCCTAAGCAGCATAATATTAGTATTAACATATGCCTTAGGAGATGTAAAATATCAATCAGCCCTCATCTTTCCCCGAATTAAACATAGTTTAAAAGAAACCTCTTCAAGGAATAAAGAGACAGTGATGGGGAGAAAGAAAAGAGGTGGAAATATCACCTTGCACATATATGGAAGTTTCTGCACTGGTAACAAAACCATCGACTTCCTGATAATATTGCTTCATGGCAGTTTGTGCACACAACATGCAAGTTTACAATGATGAAATCTTCTTTAACAGGTAAGATAGTTTGTCCCAGCTGTCAATTCAAACAAATAGAAATATTCAAGTTAATAATACGTTCTGCTATTTGAAAGCACCTGTGTTTTTCAGCTGAATGCCAACACACTCAGAGAGATACAAACACACACACGCTCACACATGTATATCACATTTATCTTAGCATGTCTCATCAATCACCTAGTGTGAAAGTTAAGACATTATGTATACCAGGCATAAGGATGTAAAATATAAGTCTAATCTAAAGATAAATTTTCAATTTGTTGTCTACAAATCCAGACAATGAGATCGATTTTATTAACGCCACCACTCATTCTAGATATTAAAAGTTGTGTTTTCTGTAACTGCAAAATTGTAAGATGTTCATCAGATTCTGCAACCATCCCAGATGAAACTTAAGGTTTTTCCTAATGCTCCGTCCCATTTTATGTGATGGTGTTCGACTAGATACGAAATATAAGATGTCAATTTGACTTGTAGATTAGATTTATAGCATTGGGAAAAAATATTAAAGTAATGATTAAAATGTTAGTTCGATAAAGAAATTAAGTAAACCTGAAAATTGTTAAAGTTATACAGAAAAATATTTTCAGTTGAATGGGTAAGCGGAACCTTTCAAACATTTTGGGATGTCCCAAATGGAAAGAGCACCATGTAAATTGAGAATGGAGAGAGTAGTATATAAGTACTTTTCAGAAAAAAAGATATTCTAAAAAAGAAGAAAGTTCATAAAACCTCCATGTGCTTCCTTCTTTCTTTGCATATTCTTGATTGTTCATCTCTTTTTCTTTTTATACTTACTTTTTTCATCTTCTTCAGCCCGATATTTTGTAGTCTTCAACAGTAATAAGAATTAGGTGATGAATCTCTTACCTACTGCAACCTATTTCTTTCTACTAAACTTACTTCGAACTAGTATCAAAAGAAGGGGAAAGTTCTTTCAGGTGAAGTATACAAACTGAGGACATAACTCAATGAAACTACCTTTTGCATCACTAGAATGTCTTTAGTTGCATCAGCAGAAAGATTGTTATGTCCAATTGCTTTTAGCGCCCTCTTTGTCATTAGCTTTTTCACTTTATTTGGTGAATCACCTCTGCTCTCTTTGTCAATATTCCTAATTAAATCTTCTGCGGCACCTGACCAATAGTCTCCGTCAAAATATGGCAAATGAACCGCACTTATCCTGGCATTATTCCTTGCACTCGGAACGAAAAAGTGGTCATATAAATTAGTATAGTTCACCACGATATCCTCTTCAGATGCTTTCCTTAACATTGACCTATACCTGCAGCCCAAAAGACAGAATCCATTCAATTCCAATAAACATACTATACGACTAAAGAGACTTGACCTGTCCAAGTAGTACCCTTGAAACCTCTTTGGTGAGTATTGAAAGCTTGGAGCTAATATTCTCTTAGTAAGTGGAAAAAGATTGATCAGATTAGAAGGAAATTTAAGCAAAAGATGGAGAAAGAGAACAACTTTTACTCGAATGGGAAAAGGTGACTCCCAGTAGAAGTGGGGCTAGGCGCAAGAGAACGCGACGGTGTCAATAAAGCAGTAAAGCACTATCTTGGAAGGGATTGTGGAGTTGGAAGACAATCATAGTAGACAAACTAGTCGAAAGGAGAGTTGGTTTACTCAACAGGTCACAACTTTCTAAGAAGCCACTTTCTGGAGAGACATCAGGAGGGCATATTTGGTTCTGC